CTGTGTTGTGAGTACCCTGGTACAGGTCATCAACTGTGTTGAGTACCCTGGTACAGGTCATCAACTGTGTTGAGTACCCTGGTACAGGTCATCAACTGTGCTGTGAGTACCCTGGTACAGGTCATCAACTGTGCTGTGAGTACCCTGGTACAGGTCATCAACTGTGTTGTGAGTACCCTGGTACAGGTCATCAACTGTGTTGTGAGTACCCTGGTACAGGTCATCAACTGTGTTGTGAGTACCCTGGTACAGGTCATCAACTGTGCTGAGTACCCGGTACAGGTCATAACTGTGTTGTGAGTACCCTGGTACAGGTCATAAAAACTGTTTTTGTGAGTACCCTGGTACAGGTCATTCAACTGTGCTTGTGATTTACCCTGGTTACAGGTCATCAACTGTGCTGTGAGTACCCTGGTACAGGCCCATAAACTGTGCTGTGAGTACCCTGGTACAGGTCATCAACTGTGCTGTGAGTACCCTGGTACAGGTCATCAACTGTGCTGTGAGTACCCTGGTACAGGTCATCAACTGTGTTGTGAGTACCCTGGTACAGGTCATCAACTGTGTTGTGAGTACCCTGGTACAGGTCATCAACTGTGTTGTGAGTACCCTGGTACAGGTCATCAACTGTGCTGTGAGTACCCTGGTACAGGTCATCAACTGTGTTGTGAGTACCCTGGTACAGGTCATCAACTGTGTCAACAATGACTCAATCCTCACAGCAATGGGGACTGATACCTCACAACCATCACCATACGCAAGGAACAAGGGGCCTGCCAGAGGGACATATATCTCTATCTATCTATCTATCTCTTTCAACAAGAGAGGCAACTACTGAACATAGGAAATTTAATGTACTCTCCCCACACCCACAATGTACTCTCCCCCACACCCACAATGTACCTCTCGTCGCCCCCCACCCCACAATGTACTCTCGCCGCCCCACAATGTACTCTCCCCCACACCCACAATGTACTCTCGCCGCCCCCACACCCACAATGTACTCTCGCCGCCCCCACAATGTACTCTCCCCCACACCCACAATGTACTCTCGCCGCCCCCACACCCACAATGTACTCCCAAACTGGATGTAAACTTAGTATAAAAGTGGTGGAAGTAAACTTCATGCACAGTTTGAAGTGTAGGTATGACAACTAAAAAGGCCTGGGAGGTCAGGAGCCATGACTCGACCCCTGCACTCATACACCTGGCCACGTACACACACACACCCCTGGCCAGGTACACACATACACACACACTCCTGGCCAGGTGCACACATACACACCCCTGGCCAGGTACACACACACACCTGGCCAGGTACACACACACACACACCTGGCCAGGTACACACATACACACACACCTGGCCAGGTACACACATACACACACACCTGGCCAGGTACTCACATACACACACACACACACCCCTGGCCAGGTGTACACACACACTCCTGGCCAGGTACACACATACACACACACACTCTTGGCCAGGTACCCCACACACACCCCCCGGGCCAGGTACACACACACACCTGGCCAAAGTACACCCCACACACCTGGCCAGTACAAACACACACACCTGGCCAGGCACACACACACACACCTGGCCAGGTACACACACACACACCTGGCCAGGCAAAAACCAAAACCACACTGGCCAGTTACACCACACACCTGGCCAGGTACACACACCCACACCGGGCCCAAAGGTACACAAACATACAACACACACCCCCCTGGCCAGGTACACACACACCGGGCCCGGGTTTACACCACACACACACCTGGCCAGGTACACACACACACACACCCCTGGCCAGGTACACACACACACACCTGGCCAGGCACACACACACACACCTGGCCAGGTACACACACACACACCTGGCCAGGCACACACACTCCTGGCCAGGTACACACATACACACACACACTCCTGGTCAGGTACACACTCTCCTGGTCAGGTACACACTCTCCTGGTCAGGTACACACTCTCCTGGTCAGGTACACACATACACACCCCTGGCCAGGTGTACACACACACCTGGCCAGGTACACACACACACCTGGCCAGGTACACACACACACACCTGGCCAGGTACACACACACCTGGCCAGGTACACACACCTGGCCAGGTACACACACCTGGCCAGGTACACACACACACCTGTCCAGGTACACACGCACACACCTGGCCAGGTACACACGCACACACCTGGCCAGGTACACACACACACCTGGCCAGGTACACACACACACACCTGGCCAGGTACACACACACACCTGGCAAGGTACACAACCCCACAACCCTGGCCAGGTAAAACACACACACCTGGCCAGGTACACACACCTGGCCAGATACACACACACACAACACCGGGCCCAGGTTTACACACAAAAACCCCTGGCCAGGTAAAACACACACACACTGGCCAGGTACACACACACACCGGCCAGGTACACACACACACACCTGGCCAGGTACACACCACACCTGGCCAGGTACACACACACACACCTGGCCAGGTACACACACACACACACACCTGGCCAGGTACACACACACACACCTGGCCAGGTACACACACCCACCTGGCCAGGTACAACACCACACCACACAAAACCCCTGGCCAGGTTACACACACACACCTGGCCGGGGTACACACACACACCTGGCCAGGTACACACACAAAACCGGCCAGGACACACAACACCTGGCCAGGTACACACACAAAACCTGGCCAGGTACACACACACCCGGGCCAGGTAAACACACACACACCCGGCCAGGTACACACCCCACACCTGGCCAGGTACACACACACCACACACCCCCTGGCCAGGTACACACACACACAACACCTGGCCAGGTACACACACCACACCGGGCCAGTACACAAAACACCAGGCCAGGTACAACACACCTGGCCAGTACACACACACACCTGTCCAGGTACCCCCGCACACACCTGGCCAGGTACCACACACACCACCTGGCCAGGTACACCAACAACAACACCTGGCCAGGTACACACACACACCTGGCCAGGTACACACACACACCTGGCCAGGTACACACACACACCTGGCCAGGTACACACACACACCTGGCCAGGTACACACACCTGGCCAGATACAACACCACACACAACCTGGCCAGGTACACACACACACCTGGCCAGGTACAACACAAAACCTGGCCAGGTAAAACACACACACCTGGCCAGGTACACAACCCACACCTGGCCAGGTACACACACACACCTGGCCAGGTACACACACACACACCTGGCCAGGTACACACAACACACCACCTGGCCAGGTACACACAACAACACACCTGGCCACGTACACACACACACCTGGCCAGGTACACACACACACACCTGGCCAGGTACACACACACACCTGGCCAGGTACACACACACACCTGGCCAGGTACACACACACACCTGGCCAGGTACACACACACACCTGGCCAGGTACACACACCCCACCGGGGCCAGGTACCACACACACACACACGGCCAGGTACACACACACCCTGGCCAGGTACACACACACACACACACCTGGCCAGGTACACACACACAACACCTGGCCAGGTACACACACACACCTGGCCAGGTACACACACACACCTGGCCAGGTACACACACACACAACCTGGCCAGGTACACACACACACCTGGCCAGGTACACACACACACACACCTGGCCAGGTACACACACACCCCTGGCCAGGTTACACATACACACACACACCACCAACAATTCCTGGTTCATAACACACACTCCTGGCCAGGTACACAACACACACACACACCTGGCCAAGTACAACAAAACACACACGGGCCCCAGGTACACACACACACCTGGCCAAGTAACACACACACACACCTGGCCAGGTACACCACCAGATTACCTCAGTATGACCTTATGTGAGGCTGCATTTCACCTTTCTTTAACCAAACCCGTTTACCCCCACCACCACCCACACCCACCCACGCCCAAACCACCCCCACCACCCACGCCCAAAACCACCCCCACCACCCCCCAAACCACCCCCACCACCACCCCAAACCACCCCCACCACCCACGCCCAAACCACCCCCACCACCCACGCCAAACACCCCCCCCACCACCCAGCCCATCCCCAAACCCTCCCACAAACACCACCTTGCACTTCCTGCACTATATACATGAATATATAAACACTACTGAATCCTTATGTCATTACTCGTATCTATAACACACTACACTAAATATTATATATATAAATATATATATATATATATATATATATATAAATATATATATATATATATATATATATATATGTCGTGCCGAAAAGTAAAACTTGCGATTTTGGCTTAAATAGCAACGTTGTTCTTGCCGAATAAGGCGAGTGAAAATTTGTGTATGCAATAATTTCGCAAAAATCATTCTGAACCTAACGTTAAAAATATATTTCATTGTGTTTGTTTATTATTAAATTATTGCAAACTTATCTAAAATATATTTAGTTGGATTAGGCTAAATTAAATTGCACTTGTTATAATAAGGTCAGGTAAGTTTACTAAGGTTCTTTTGGTACAAAATTATTAATTTTTACATTAACATAAATAAAAAAAAAATACTTCTTTAAATAAGAGAAAATTTTAGAAAGGACTTAATTTTAAACGAGTTCTTGCCAATTGACCCAATTTTACCTATTCGGCACGACACACCCACACACACACACACCCACACACACACACACACAACACACACACACACACACACACACACACCATATATAATATATATATATATATATATAAAATATATAATATTATTTATATATATTATTATAATATAAATACCACACACACACTGAAGGTCAATCAGAAAAGAGGTCAGTCACTGAAGAAGTCAATCAACACATGTGAAAGGCCTTAACTGAAGAGTTATCATCTGCCTTTAAACTGAGTAAAGGAGGTGGTGTAGAGAGGCTCACCTGCTGAGGTCATGAGGTCGATGAGGTGATTGAGGGAGGGCGAGAGGTCACGTTCCTCATCACTACCCAGACTGTAGTCGAGGGCACGGTACAGCAGCACTCCCAGCTCCGACACCAGCTGCAACAACAACAACAACATTACCAATCACTGAACTTTATACCTGGTCTTCCACTGGGTGAGCCAGGGGAAGGCCTCAGTCAGATGACCAATCACTGAACTTTATACCTGGTCTTCCACTGGGTGAGCCAGGGGAAGGCCTCAGTCAGATGACCAATCACTGAACTTTATACCTGGTCTTCCACTGGGTAAGCCAGGGGAAAGGCCTCAATCAGATGGACCCAAACACTGAACTTTATACCTGGTCTTCCACTGGGTAAAGCAGGGGAAGGCCTCAGTCAGATGACCAATTTACTGAACTTTATACCTGGTCTTCCACTGGGTAAGCCAGGGAAGGCCTCAGTCAGATGACCAATCATGAACTTTATACCTGGTTCTTCCACTGGGTAAAACCAGGGGAAGGCCTCAGTCAGATGACCAATCACTGAACTTTATACCTGGTCTTCCCCTGGGTAAGCCAGGGGAAGGGCCCCAGTCAGATGACCAATCACTGAACTTTATACCTGGTCTTCCACTGGGTAAGCCAGGGGAAGGCCTCAGTCAGATGACCAATCACTGAACTTTATACCTGGTCTTCCACTGGGTAAGCCAGGGGAAGGCCTCAGTCAGATGACCAATCACTGAACTTTATACCTGGTCTTCCACTGGGTGAGCCAGGGGAAGGCCTCAGTCAGATGACCAAACACTGAACTTTTATACCTGGTCTTCCCTGGGTGAGCCAGGGGAAGGCCTCAGTCAGATGACCAATCACTAAACTTTATACCTGGTCTTCCACTGGGTAAGCCAGGGGAAGGCCTCAGTCAGATGACCAATCACTGAACTTTATACCTGGTCTTCCACTGGGTGAGCCAGGGGAAAGGGCCCCAGTCAGATGACCAAACACTAAACTTTATACCCGGGTCTTCCACTGGGTAAGCCAGGGGAAGGCCTCCGTCAGATGACCAATCACTAAACTTTATACCTGGTCTTCCACTGGGTAAGCCAGGGGAAGGCCTCAGTCAGATGACCAATCACTAAACTTTATACCTGGTCTTCCACTGGGTAAGCCAGGGGAAGGCCTCCGTCAGATGACCAATCACTAAACTTTATACCTGGTCTTCCACTGGGTAAGCCAGGGGAAGGCCTCAGTCAGATGACCAATCACTAAACTTTATACCTGGTCTTCCACTGGGTAAGCCAGGGGAAGGCCTCAGTCAGATGACCAAAAGCTCCAGCTGCGGGTCGTCATATAACTAAGACCGTCGTCAGGAAGCACTAATCCTGTTTCCTGACAAACCTAATACCTACCTACTGAACAATAACATTTATCAAGAGTATCAGGTACTGGCTGGAACAATTCACACTTACCACTGAACAAATGGAACAATACTAGCAATAATACAATAACTGAAATTCCATGTTATATCACACAATGATCAATAACACTTGTGTAGCATTTGGGTATCTCTATTCTGGAAACGTTTCGCCAGCCAGTGCTTTCTTCAGTCCAATGTTGAGCAAGGTGGAAAATAAAGAGTTTGAGGCAATCAGTCCCTCAACCTTTCATAGGTCAGTAATTTTTCCGGTAAAACTGACCCATTTTTTTTTTGTGCCTCGGAAAAAAACAGTAATAAATAAGCCAAACAGATGATATAAAACCCGCCTAAAAAAAGATCTATCTAAAACACACCAATGTTGAAAGTTTGAAGCCGACCAGAAGCACCGTTGACCAGTTATCACATGGAATCCAATGAGCGTAATTTATTATCAGCTATGAAAGAAATCACAATAATACGAGAGTAGTTTCAAGTCTTCCTACTTCCGGAGCCCGGCCATGAGGCAGGCTCGTCTGGTACTAGCCCGGTCAACCAGGCTGTTGCTGCTGGAGGCCCGCTGCCCCACATATCCATCACAGCCTGGTTGATCTGGCACCTGGTGAAGATACTTATCCAGTTTCCTCTTAAAGACTTCTACACTTGTTCCAGAAGTGTTTCTGATATCTTCTGGTAAGATGTTGAATAATCTGGGGCCACGAATGTTGATACAGTGCTCCCTTATTGTGCCCACCGCACCCCTGCTCCTCACTGTGTTTATTTTGCACTTCCATATCTCTCACTCCAGTATATTATGACTGACTGCAAATATACCACATTGAAAACAGGAAATTAAACCCGAGTGCTTTCATGTGGTTATACACATCTTCAGAGGAATAGCTATTAGCTATTTTTAGTATATCGGCAAACACATACACAGACTAGGTTTAAAGAATATCAGCCTTCTCATTAATTGTATCAGGCTTAAAGGTTTGAAGCTTATCAGAAGAAACATTCTCAGGTTATGGCACAGAAACCAAAATCGGGAATAGTGTATAACACTGGCAACACTTGCATCAACCTTCCCCCTGGTTGGCTTACACCCTCACTGGAAATTTGAAGACGATCGGATGAGGCATTCTCAAATTAAAAACCAAACTTTGCAGGAAGAAACCAATTCAGTACAGCAGTTCAGGTTTCTAAAGTTCTCAAGTGTTCTCAAAATCTGAGGATAAAAACAGAGGCTGTGGAACAAGACATTATAATGGCCGCCTCTCTGAGATACTTTGTACACGAGGTTTTATACTGTTAATTAAACACCTTTGATATACCTTAAATGGGATGAGTTTCTAGAGTTTTCCTGCCTCTGCGGCCTGACATTGTCCTAACCTTGTCTGGTGTTTGACTGATCAACCAGGCTATTACTGCTGGCTCATATATCCATCCCAGCCTTGGGTGTTCTGGTACTTACCTGGAGTTAAACCAGGGTACAGGTGGGGTTAGAACCCATGGCTAGTGAGTAAGCCACTGGGCCAGCTGGCTACAATAAGATTCATCCAACTAGGTATACTTCTACACCATAGGGAGGTTAGCATGGGCCACCACTGTGACCACAAATGCAAGTTTTTATAGACGAATCTCCTGCCAGCGTGGCCGTGACGAACTCTAGCTCATGCCCCCTCAAAACCGTCATGACTTACGAAATCGTAATAAGACGATTACAAACAAACCAGGGTACGGGTGGGGTTAGAACCCATGGCTAGTGTTTTACGACTCTCTCTTGCGTACCGTGGTTTGTTTGCAAACGTGTTATGTTCCCTGGAATTACTTCCGGAGATCACCGCCCCCGCGGCCCGGTCCCCAACCTGACCTCCCGGATGCTGGCCTGATCAGTCAAGCTGTTAGTGCTCGCTGCCCGCAGTCCAACATATGCACTACAACCCGGCTCATCATGAAGTGTTCTGAGGAATCTGTGGAATCTCCTCTTGAAGACGGCCAGGGTTTTGTTGGTAATTCCTCTCATACATGAAGGAAGGGTGTTGAGTCGTGGTCCCTTAACACTTATTAAGTTCTCTTTCCCTGTACTCAACGGTCCTCTGCTTCCTAGTGTATCCTGCACCGTCTTGTGTTTCATAAGTAGTAACTTCAGCACTTGTCCCAACAGTATTTCTGTTAACGTCTGCCAGTATTAAACAGTCTGCGACAACGGATGTTGACACAATGTTCTCTTATTGTGCCCACGGCGTCTCTGATTTTCAGTATGTTTATTTCACATTTTCACCCATATCTCTGACGCCAGTATGTTGTTATGGCAACGTACAGATTTGAAACTAGATCCCTCGAGTACTTTCCAGGTTTATATTATCATATATATCTCTCCTTCACTCTGGTGAGTACATATTTAGGACTCTGAGGCGTTCCCAGTAATTTAAATACTTTACTGGCTTTACGGAGGCCGTAAATGATCTGTGTACGTGTTCCATCTCTTATGTTTGTCCAGCCCTGAACGGGGCCGTCAACACTGAACAATACTCTAACAAAGAGAGCACAAAGTATTGTAAAATTGTTACCACTGGCACTATTTCCTAGTTTTGAAAGTTCTCATTATCCACCCTCGTCATTTTCCTGACATTTGCCTTATTGTGTTCTCGGAAAGAAAGATCAGCTGACATTACACTCGGTTCCTGCAGGTATTTGGTGACGTCAGAGGACCGGGGGAAGAGGTCAACAGGAGAGGAAGGGGTCAACTGGAGAGAGGAAGGGGTCAAAAAGGCGAGGGAGGGGGAAGGGGTCAACAGGAGAGGGAGGGGGATGCGTTGTATTGTGGTATGTGTGGAATGTTTTGATCGAGGTGGAGAAAGTGGCACTCCCCCCCTCACCTTTCACTCTCTTGTGATGGTGCCAACACTGACCCAACCTTTCTCCCACCCACTACTGCCCTCCCTCAACCCCCCCTGCCATCCATCACCCCCCTGCCCTTCATCATGCACCCCTTGACCATCACCCACCCCCCTGCCCTTCATCACCCATCCACCTTGCCCTTCATTATCAACCCCTGCACTTCGTCATCCACCCCCTGCCGTTCATCACCCGCCCCCTGCCCTTCATCACCCAGGTGAAGGGCAGGGGGGTGTGCTGGGGTGCAGGTGTGATGTGTACAGGTGTGCTGGTGTAGTATGGTGTACAAGTGTGGTGTGCAGGTGTGCTGCAAGAGAAAGTAAAAGAAAGAGACAGGGAGAAGAGCAATTATGTCGCAGGAGAGAGAGGGGAGGGGAGGAGAAATAATTTAATAACCATATCATGGTAGGGATGAGAGGGGGGGAAGGATGGGAGGGGGGGAAGGTGGGAGGGGGACAGGCTGGGAGGGGGGATGGTTGGGAGGGGGGGAAGGAGAGGTGTTGATGGAGGAGGAGGATGAACGAGGAACTTAAGAGAGGAGAAGGCACAAGGTACTGGGTACGATGGTGGTTAGTTCAGGTATACCTCCTGGATGTCTACCTGGGAGCTGCTATGGAGGTGGACCGCCCTGGCGGCCCCGCCTGCACCTTACACCTGGTCACTCAGGCTGTTACTGTTGGTTATGCACCACAGATCTACTTATTAGCAACTGCCATGTTTTCCTCATGAGGGACAGTACTAGTCTCTGATAATCAACCTTTATCTTTAATGGAAGGTTTGGTGTCATAAGTTTGTCAGAAACAGAAAATT